GTTGCTCGGGAAAGAGATGCAATGGGGCTGGTTCTTGCAACAAAACGCACCTAAAAAACTGAAGTAATGCATCGGTATGAGCCCTAAGCTCCACATTCAGACCCCTTTGTGCATCTGCACATTAAAGGCATGCAAGTGCAAGTCCATCCCTTGCATCAGTACTCCCTTCAAGTCACCAAAGCCCCCTCCTCTGTGTCTCCAGAATAACAGACCAATTCTTCTGTTGCAAAGACCTCAGGAAGACCACAAAAGGGGAGAATGGTTTCAATGCGATGGGTGCCTATTTCAAATCTCTGGGTTGATCTCGTGAATCATGCCTGCACACACCTCGCAGTGCTAACATGGTGCGGCACCCTTGAAAGGTGCTCAAAGCACCCCGAGTCAGGAGCTGCAGCGTGTAGATCTATGACCAATGCAACAGCAATAATATAATACATCTAGATATAATCATCATCATCCTCTTGTGCCATTTCCTTGCCTAGGTCCTTTAAGTGGGGTGAGTCAGAACCACTTCCCTACGCAGTCTACGGCCATGCTGTGGTGTCTCACAATGATCTGGTCTACGCCATAGGAGGCAAAGGAAGCGACAGGTAAATCCAAAAGCAAGGGGTTAAAAGCAGAGGGGAGCACATCTCACACAGCGAAGTGGGGTTGGCTGCTTCTGCGTGCAAGGTCCCCTGCTAGAAGAAGGAGCTCTGCTCCGTACAAAAGAAGGTTTCTAGGATAATGGTCAATAAGGAGTAGAAAAATCAGGGGCTTGGGGAAGATAAGACAGAGGACTTCTCTGTCTGCGTAGTTTGCTGATGTGCTCCAGAGCTGGACGTTCCCCGCAGAGGCTGCTCCAGGACCCAGCTCCTGCTCGTGACCCCCCAGTCTGGTGAACTTCTAGCTTTGGCCTTCAGCAGACGACCAAGGTCGATCCGTTCTCTCTGAGCTCTGCCACCGACACAGTAAAGCACATGAAGGTCTTCATTTTGAGGCCACTGGCATGCATCCAGCCTTCAGGGGTGGTTGCAGGTTCTCCATGGCCCCCCTGCACACTTGCACTGACATCAGTTGGGGATTTGGTGGGAGGACCAAGGAGGGGGACTATCACTCCCTTTATCCAAAGAAACCGATTGGCAGCTCTTTGGGGTGAAGACTCAACTAACATCATACAAAACACGCAATTGTACCATCAGCACTCAATCCATAAGAGCCACTGCTGCGTGCTTGCAGGCAAGTCCCCATATGCATACCCGCATGTAATGGGACATGCGCTTACCAAGAGGCCTGGGTGCTCATATCTGAACACGCGTACACAAGGAAGAGTCAGGTCGTGCACCACAAAGACATCTATTACCTTGGATGTGAACATCACTAATAAACGCGCTGGCAATCATAATCTGCTGAAGATGTAGGTCCGTGCCCCAGACCCCCCATTACTTAGGGGAGTGCAAAGATCCCACCCAGCAAGTCAGTGAAATTGCTTTTCTCTCGCATGCTTTTTGCAGGAAGTGCCTGAACAAGATGTGCGTCTACAGCCCCACCAAGTTCGAGTGGAAGGAGCTGGCTCCCATGAAAACTGCTCGCTCTCTGTTCGGGGCAGCCGTGCACAACGACAAGATCTACGTGGTGGCAGGAGTGACCGACTCTGGCCTGACTAACTCCGTGGAAGTGTATGACATTGCAGCCAACAAGTACGTACCGCCTTCTCCCCCAGGATGGACACGAGGGAGCGGCTGTGGGCATGAATGAAACCTCTGACCCCCGGGCAGCCAACTCCTTGGGGCGGTTTTGGCTGCGTCTCTTTGGGCACCACTTCAGCTGGTGTCACTGCTGCTTACTAGCATTTGCATCGCCTATAGCCAAAGGGCACCCTGCAGTACCAGCATCGAATGAATATAGGGATGGCTGGAGGCTAGAGGTAGGTCTACATGGCAATCAAGTGTGACTGCCACTCATGCGGACATACCAGAGCCGTTCAGCCTGGCCTAATGGCCTAAATTTTTATCCAGCATGCTGGATTGGCTTTGCAGTCTGCGCTGAGTTTTGTGCTGCCAGCAGCACCCATGCTAACTTGAGCTGGCCTCTATCATCTGCAGCCACCCCCGCAATGCCAGCTTACACAAGCTCCGGGGTCACAAGAGCCGGATGATCTGTCCTGGTAGATAGCAGGGATATTTCACCTGTGCATTAAAGGCACCCTTTGCTTGGCAGCTTCACGGAGCGCCTCTCCCTTCTCAGCCTGGCAAGGACCTGAATGCAGAACGGTTGGGAGAAAGCGCCAGCTCGCTGAAGGCTCTTGGTTGCTCCCTTGCAACCTGATCCCCACTGCTCGCAATGGGGCTTTGGTTGCACCCCCTATACCCCCCAGTATGTTAGCCATATTGGCCTAGCAAGCGGGAAGGGAAGGAAGCCTCTGCAACATGGTAGCAACCCTCACTGGAGTGGGTGGTTTTCTCCAGCCTGTTCCTACGGCCCCGTTTCCTCCTCCTAGGCTGAATCCGCCACCACTCACGCTGCTTAATGCACTACTGTGCGGTGCTCAAATCCCCTAGTGATAAGGCTAGTAGTGTAAGCATCTGCAGAGAACGGATGAGACGGTTTCTGAGCAGGGAGCTGCAGACACTGGTACGAGAGCCTATGGAGAACAGACTCTTGCTGACGTGCCCCACAATGCCCGTGCCCTGGGGAGCGGAGCTGGGGGATGCTGTTGAAAACTTAAGGAAATTGTGAAAGAGCCTGTGTCCATAGCAGCACTTGTGGGGCCCTCGGTTGTGTCCAGAGTGGTTGATCTGCAGGGCCAGAAGGAGACCTTCATGCCCTCCAACGTGTCTGATCTCTCTCCCCGGCAGGTGGGAGGCCTTCACCGAATTCCCCCAGGAGCGCAGCTCCGTCAGCCTGGTCAGCCTGGGCGGCACTCTCTATTTACTGGGCGGCTTTGCCACGGTGGAGACCGAGTCGGGCGAACTGGTGCCAACTGAGCTAAATGACATCTGGAGGTAAGGAGATCAGCGCTCCCGGGGAAAGCAGCGGTGGGGTCGATCAGAAGCGGGGGATTCTTGGTGTCTTATTGCCTTGTGGGGAGGATGCTTTCCAGCCAGACAAGTCATTGACCTCAACCTGCGCTGGCACCTGGGGGAAGTTTTCTGGCTGGTGCTAGATGATGGCAATGGTCCCTGCCGTCCTTAAAAGATCTGGTCCCGTCTTTTACCCAGAATGAAACGCTGACCAGAGTTAAGTCTAGAATCCACTTCCTTACCTTCAGCCAGTGCTGCTTTCTGTCATTTCCTACTGACAGAGGCAAGGGGTCAAACTCAACCCCTTTACCCAAGACACTCGAGATAGTCCACAAATGGCTTCCCCTGGCTCCAGCTTCCCGGACACCAGGAACACAAGGAACCCAGGGTGCAAAGGCAGCCGGTGGCTACCGCCGGCGCTCTCTGCCTGCTTTGGTCCAAGACCAACAAAGAACCGACTTGCAAAGCGGGCTGATTGTCAGTCATTTGAATCTGCCCTCGCTCTTCCCCACTCAGGTAGCTCGCCCCAGGGTCTGTGCTCAGGTTCAAGTCAAGGCAGAGTGGCGACGGTCGCAGGCTGCTGCCTGGCCCTCTATTTTCTGGGGAGGAAGATTGCAGTTTTCTGGTGCCATTTGCTGTCAGCACTCAGAGACCACTAAGGTCAATGGAAAGCTGCTGGTATCAAGGGGCTTCAAAATCAGGCCTGAAATTCATCTTCAAAAGAAAAAGCAAACCAAAAATGCTGCATGGCAGCATTGGCAGCTGCCCAGGGAAACAGATTCACCTTCCAGACAGGAAACCTTTCTGAAAAAAACCCAACAAATGGCAACTACAGACTCGATCCAACTGATTTCCACGCTGCTCGCGTTCCAGTTTGGTGTCTTTTGTGTACCAGCTACCTCACTCTCTCTGAAAGCCTGCACGTGGCTCCCCGAGTTGCCTAGTCTGCCTACCGTACTGCGAGGAAAACCCTCTCTGCAGCCGGCCTTGCTGCCGAACTCGGGGCTGGAAGGGGGAGCACGGGGCACGGGGCTCACTCGAGTTGTTGTCCTCCTCCCTTCAGGTACGACGACGAAGATAAGAAGTGGGAAGGCGTCCTCAGAGAGATCCAGTATGCCTCCGGTGCCACCTTCCTGCCTGTCCGCCTTAACGTTTTACGGTTAACAAAGATGTAAATGACACCACGGGGTTTGGGGTTTTTTTCGGTCCTTGTTTTTCCAAAGGAGGGGGGGATGATTTCAGTGGCTGAGCTGTAGTACGCTACATCTGTGATCGGTTGTCATTTAACTTCACCCAAGCAGGAAAGGGAAACAGTAGATCAACGCCTTCTGGGAGCTTTGAAGGGGGTTACATTACTCTAGAAACACAGGCCTGGGGGCATCGGGGAGCTCTGCCAGGTCGATGAGCTGGGACAGTTGCACTTGTTTTGTCTCCAGAATCGGATGCCTTCTGCTCTTCCTGGTCTGGACAGGAGCTATACCCCTTTTTTCTTCAAGACTTGCAAGCATTCGCATGGATCCCTTCTCCAGTTTCTCCCCCTCAGCCGCCCGTCTGAACGGGGAAGGCAGGAGATGGATCTCACTAGAACAGAACGAACCAACTAAATTAGCACAAGATGCAACTGTGCAAGAAAAAAATCAAAATAGCCCCCTGCACGGTAACTCCCAGGCAGCTTTAACAGCCCTAGTTATCGCTAGCAAGGAGAGGAGAGCTGGGAGGAAGGCGTTTGGAGCAGGTCTGCAGATTGCTGAGCTAGGTCACGTCATAAGACTTGGTGGTTGTTCGGAGAGGAAATGCAACAGGCAAGTAAAGCGTATGTGTGGGGATAAGGAGAAGAAACTCCTCGGGCTGCTGTGGCAGAGGATGTTAGGAAGACAGGACCGAAGCAAGCATGCACCGAAGCACTGGTGTGATCGCAACACATGCCGTGAATGCTGGGTGTCCCAGACAGCCCCGCAACCTCTGGGATGAACTAACTTCCGCGCCAGCCTTTTGAACTTCACTTCCTTTGGCTTTATTTAATCTTGGCATTCAGGGGAATCCCAGTGCTTGGGTCCTGCTCCTTTCCAGCAGCTGTTACAGAGATGCAACGGGGAAAGCTCTGGTATAAAACAGGGGGGAACTTCATCTGGGTAGTGGTGTCACTGGTCAGGCCGGCTGATGACCAGAGATCCTGATTTTCTCCAATTTAAAAAAATCCCCTATTTTCAGTTTTTTTTAAAAAGTAACCCCAAATCCATGTTTCCATAATTAAAATGAAACACCACTATACATGTATCTGTATATATTAGTGGTGTTTCATTCAAATCATGGAAAAATGCGGATTTGGGGTTCCTTTTTAAAAAAAAAAAATCCCCAATTTTTGGTTTAAATCGGAGAAAGCCAAGATCCCTGCTGATGACCTCAGGCCCCCACCTCTCCTCCGCAGCAACAGAGTCAGCAGATCACAGACGGCAGCGATTGCACTATGGCTTTTACCAGCCCTCATCGCTTCCAATTGTATTTTTATATTTATGATGTCTCTAAACTTTGTAATGTTCTTACTTGGTTTCTTTTTTCTTTTTCTAAAACCAACTCAGTTTGCAAAGTAGATTGAGATCTCTGAAGCAACCTAACGATGAACCATTCATTTTTAAGTTTTCAGTTATGATTTTTGATAGGACAGAAATCTCTCTTCCAGTGAAAGTCTAATGATGCCTGTGTTACCCGATCTGTGCTTTAGTGTAAAATAAAAAAAAAAAGTGTTACTTCCTGTGTCTGTCCAGCTGCACGCGTGTGGGGTGTGCACGTGCACATGTACACACAAACATCACGAGACAGGTGACTGCACTTAGCCACCGGGCAGTTCGGTCAAACTAAGGCTTAAATAAGGCCGCGCTTCTTGCAAGGTTTGGCTGCTAGCATTATGGAAGAGCAGTTTGATTCTTGTCCGAAGGCCTTGAACTTACTTTGTTCTACGCTCACCTGCATTTTAAGAATAACGTAATTCCCATCCAGCTAAGCTCTTATACCGAGCCTTTCCTAGATGCATCATTTGTATCCCAGTAACACCCCCAGCCCACAGTCAAGATCTGGGCCCCATTGCGTTAGCCATTTAGACAGGGACCACCTCTTATCTAAGACGAAGAAGGGGAAATAGAGGGGGTGCAAGTGCAATGACTTCCCAAACTCACACAGCAGGGCTGTGGCAGAGGTGGGAATCGAGCCCAGCTCCCCCCACCCAGAGCCCTGTCCACTGAACAACGGGTACCGTGCGATGGGCAGCGCTCCCAGCCTTCAAGGTGTCTCTGCAATGTGGCTGAAAGGCAGCAATCAGGATTTATGACCTCCACCACGTCCCAGTGCGAGTTGGCCAGCCATAGAGAGAAAGCCACACGCAACCTGGCCCATCTAGCTGCCTCCGGACCAGGGCAGCCTGCCCTACCTCCCTATAGCCCAGGGTTGGACCGAATCTCTTGGGCTTCCATAAGCCACCCCGGTGGAGGTGTTACAGGTCCCTCGTCCAGGCCCTCCTGCTCTGCTCCCTTCTAGACTTTCCCCTGAAAAATAAAGCTGCAGAAAACAATAAAATGTCTTCTCATTGGTGAAGTTCATTAAAGCCTGCCTCACGACCCTCTCACGTGAAGGCGCGGTTGGCTGGTGTGACAAGAGCTGTCCCAGTCTCCTGATGGAGTTCAAAATGGCTTGTCCCACAGTAATGTGCTTGGCACCGGAGAAACATATTCCTGTTCGCTACGGTGCCCAGTAGCGCCGCATTGAGACGGGCAGCGTCCGCTCAGCGCGCACAAGCTCCAGGCAGCACCGTACGTGTATGGAGCAGGCCCTGGGCTAAGATAGGACTGTCCGAGCTCAGGCACCACCGTTTTAGTCACTTTCCTCCCATGCCAATCCCCGTGAATAGACCGTGCATGGCTTGTCCTGCCCCTCCGATGCCCGTGCTACACAGCACAACTGTTTGGCAAGCCGGGAGCAGATGGCTCCAGCCCCCCGGGAGACTCTGGGCTCAACTCCAGCACCCACTCTCAGGCCTGCCAGGACCAGAGGGCTCATGGGCAGACACATGAGCCTGGAGCTGCCTCCCTGACCTTTCCCATCTGGAGCATGGCTGCAAAGCGTGGGTGGGGTGCATTTGGTCCTGCCAGTGCAGCTCAGTCCTCCCATGGCTCAGTCGGCTCTTAGCGATTTCCCTCTTGCATGCAGGCAGGGGCAGCCCGAGACACCAGACACACAAATCGCCCCCGCTGCGTTTGTCAGAGGAATCCAGGACTACGTGGATCCAGCCCAATTTAGCTCTCGCCTGGATCCTGCTCGCTCTCTCTCCCCTCCTTCAGGAGAGGGAAAACTTCCGCCCACCAACACCGACTAGAAGCGACTCCATCGTAGTTGCGCCAAACCTGGGGGTAGGGTGGCATCCGAGCCCGCCGTGGCATCTGGTGACGTGGTTCAGTCTGAAGACCCGGGCAGCAGGCAGCGTGGGACTAAAGCAAGCGAGGGCCCAACCCAGCAAGGCGCAAGGTCAGCATCTCCCAGGCCTGGCACCTAGTGAGCAAATCCACAGATTGGGACTAAAACTGCGACCGTAGCAAAATCACACCGAGACGAGAGGAAACCCAAATTCTCAGCTGATGCTTACTGTTCCTGCTTTTTTTTTTTTTTTAAACAAAGGGAAGGATGTTTTATTTTCCATCATATTTTGAATATCTCTGTCTTATCACCCTAAAAAATCCTGGCTTTATAGATTCAGAGATGTTAGGGGCTGGAAGGGACCTCACAAGATCATCGGGTCCAGCCCCCTGCACAGGCAGGAAAGACAACTGGGGTCAAGTGACCCCAGCGAGGCGACCGTCCAGTCTCCTCTTGATGTCCAGGGTAGGTGATTGCACCACCTCTGGAGGGAGCTTATTTCACAGTCTGGACACCCTGGTGTGAAAAAGTTTTTCCTAGTGTTAAGCCTGAAATGGTCTTCCAGGAGTTGGTGGCCATTACTCCTGGTTTTCCCCAAAGGTGACCTGGTGAACAGTTGTTTGCTAAGCCCGTGATGTACTCCCCTGATGTAGTGGTAAGCTGCTACGTGGTCCCCTCTCACCCTTCTCTTCTGTAGGCTGAAAAGGCCCAGGTCCCTCAGCCTTGCCTCGTATGGCTTGCCGTGCAAGTCTCCGATCATCCGGGTGGCTCTTCTCTGGACTCTCTCAAGCTTGTCCACGTCCTTGTTAAAGTGCGGTGCCCAGAACTGGACGCAGTCCTCCAGCTGCGGTCTCACCGGTGCTGAGTAGAGCAGGGGAATCACTTCCTTGGTTTTGCTGGCGCTGCATCAATTGATGCACGCCAGAGTATTATTTGCCCTGTCTACAGCATTACACTGCCGGCTCATCTTCATACTGCGGTCTGCTATTACCCCCAGGTCCCTTTCCTTCATGGTGCTGGTCAGTTTGGTGCCACCAAGCCTGTCAATGTGTTGAGGGGTTGCTCGTCCCCAGGTGGAGCACTTGACATTTCTCGACATTGAACTTCGTCTGATTCTGACCCACCCAACTTACCAGCCTGTCCAGGTCCGCCTGTATCTGCAGCTTATCTTGAAGCCTGACCATGCTCCCCAATAACTTGTTGAGGACAACACTACGACTCTCCAGGTCCTACCCCGCAGTCTGCTTCCTACCCATCTGACTCTCAAGCAGTTAAGCCCGCAATCCTCCAATTTTCCCATCAGAACATCATGAGATACCCAAATCAAAGGCTTTTTGGAAGTGGAGGTATACAGCATCGACTTCCTCTTTACTCAGGAGAGCATTTGACGGTCTTCAATTTTCAAGTCCACCCATTTCAAGGGGGCTTCAGCACCTTGGCACAAAGACGCCCAAGAGGGGAGTTGATGGAAAGAAAACCAGCAGCCCGTTGAATGTAATGGAGAAGGAGAGCTTTCCCACTGGCTGCTTTTAAACACCGGACTTTGGGGAGGAGAATATTTTAGTTCAAGGCTTAAAGCCCCTTCCCTCCCATGGAAAGCTCTGCATCAAACCATCATTAGGCGAATGAAAAACTGAAAAAAAATTAAATTAATGAAATGAAATTAATGAAAATTAAAAATGAAAAATTGATTTAAAGGAAAAAAGTTTCTTTGTTGCTCCCAATGATTTATTTTGGGGGCGCCCAGTCCACTTCATTTGTGCTTGGGAAGCACATGCAGCCCCCTCAGCTTCCAGGAAAAGGCATAGACAGTAAAACCTGGATATCTCCCAGGTTAGGCTCTTTACCCCCTGCAAAGATGAGGGTATGCAAGGTGAGGGGGGTTACAAACAGCTATATGGGAGCACAGAGGTGCCTCAGCTATTTGAATCCTTCTTCTCTAACCGGCTGGGTGGAAAAGCAGCACTTTTGGAAATAAAACCCACAGCCAACCTCTAAATGGTTGGTCCTGAATTGCAAGAGGTTTGGGAAGCAGCTGGATATGAAACAGTGCAGAAAAAGGAGCAGAAAAAAAAAATCCTTCGGCTGCTTCTGCCACATGCACTTACACTGACCCGTCAGTCGTGTGGTCAGCCTTACGCGATCAGAGATCGGGAGATTTTGAAATGATAAATCCGAGGTTGTTTTTCTTCCTCCTGGCATTAGCCTCCAGGTGTGGTGCAAGCTAGCGGTTTAGCTAGATTCAAAAAGGGACTGGACGAATGCTTGGAGGAAAGGGGCATCAGTATGGGAGTGAGGGGCACAGCCTCTGAACTTCCTCGACCCTGCAAGTAAGACAGGAAGAGTGGAAAAACCCCTAAACAGACCCAGTTCAACTCTGCCTTTCAGCATCTGCTCTCTGCCACATGCGATACAGGAGACTGGGCCAAATGGACCTACAGGTCTGACTCGGTCAGTGGCAATTATGAGCCTTCAGGGTTCACACCTTCCCCTGCAATGGCCAGGGCTACAGTCTTGCTTGCACAAGAAAACTGGCATCGCTGCACAACCACATAATGTCATGCGCTGGGAATTTTAAAAAGCAAGTAAACCCCACCCAATAGCACAAGACTTGCAGTACAAGTGACGAGAAACAGCACAGCGATTAACTCGGTGAACGATCTCCCTGAAGTCGAAGGGAGCCCTCATGGGGCATGATATTACTGAACGCGAACGAATGGATCAAGAGCT